GGGATTACATAAAGACTCCTATAGGGATGCCATCCTCATCTCCACTAACCATGCATGAGAAAGTGTCGGGAAATATCCTGTTGCGCTGCACCTCTAAGTTGGATAGTCAGTACATGGGAAAATATGCTATGAGCAGATATAGCCTGATAAGAGCTACTTTAACCCCTTCTCGTAGCTGCCATGCATGCGTTCAGGTGTCACAACAGCCATGGAAGCCAGAAACAGAATCACAGCAACTACATCTTGAAGAGCCACAACAAGGATAAATTCAGAATCTTGGCCGCTAGACCACTCTGCCCAACTACCTTCGAACAGGGTGCCTTGCATCCTTCACCCTTCTCTGGCTTCTCCATACCCTTGGGCTTTGGCACAAACGCCGGCTCCTGGAATGAGCTTTTGGTATCGTGTGGAATTTAGGGCTTGGGATTTAGGGTTGGGATTTTGGTTTGGGGCTCGGCGCATCGGGTTGTTTGGGGTTGTTGACCTGAAGGGGACCATTTGACTTCATGGGACTACCTGTGGCTAGCAAGGCATAGTGGCAAACGACCGGCTGTGAAGTGTCAAGGCAACGGGCTGTAGGCCATCGGCTTTACCCCGGGGCTAGAAGTCTGTAAATGTTTCCTACATTGGGCCCTAAAGTCTGTAAGTAATTCCTACATGGAGCCTTAGGGATGAGGTTTGGGGAAAAAGAAAAAAGGACGGTCTCACACGCTCATCGCACACCTGCCCGAAGCAAATCCGGAGCTAGGCTGCGGATTGTAGACGAAGCTCTGGGACGAAGGATGGGATAAAGCCGAAAAACGGGCTGAATACTGACTCCCCTCCGGATCCTCATTCTCGTCAGGGATGGAAGTAAGCCTTAAACCCCCAAGCCCTAATCCCTGAACCCAATACTCCCTGAACACGAAACCCTGAAGCCCCGGACCTGGGGTGGTGGAGGAGGTGGGCGACGATCCTCTCCGCGACGTTCGCGGTCGCCGCCTGTGGTTCCGGAGCGCTTTGGGGTTTTAGGGCCTCTAGGTTTGGGGATTAAGCTTTGGGGTCCCAACGCTAAAGGCTTTTGAGTGTTTGGGACCGGGGTTTCAAGGTTTCAGGCTTATTTAACGCTCAGGACCCGAGGTTCAGGAGGCGGATTTGGAATTTGAGGCTGCGGAACCATGAACCCTAGTCTACTTCACCAAAATACCGTGGGACTTTCTTTTTTCAGTGACGAAACGTGACAACTGCGTAGTGCGGGAGTGTCTGAACAAAAGCACGCCAGAAATCTTTGTCTGTGGTCCCTTCAGGGCCTCCCTGTTTGCGGCCCTCGACACAAAAGCTGTCCTTCTAGCTTCTGGTCATACAGAAGAACCGAGATGAAGAACCCAAAATCATGAAGCGTTGAATGAATGCCATGTGGTCATGGAGCTTCGGCTGATTGCCTGGAGCAATTTCAGGGAAACTTGCATTAGCCAATATACCAAATCCTCTTTAGATTGAACCCTTCGCAAGCAGGTTCCTTAAACCCTTTGCAGGCCCGAGAGTCATACAAAGCCGACCCTCAACAATGACGTCAATTCCTGGATGATTTTGAGTATTCAGTATTCTTCCCTTTAACCTCTAGATACGGCAAAAGAATCCCCGAAAGCCCGGAACTGATTAATCCCTTGCCGCCAATATTCAATCCCGCCTAAAATTGAACAACAAATTCCAGAGGCCTACAAATCCGGCAGAGCACTTCCGAAAGGGCAACGCTACCTTAAAAGAGGCCACCTAGCAATGAATTGCAAGGGGTTCTGGAACTATCGAATAAGTATTGACATGTTTAATTAATGAAACAATCTCAATTGATCAAACGTTCAATTCTTCAAAAGAGCTAACTAATTAATCTGTCTCGTTTTTGATTGTGGGTTTCCATTGAGTTTAGAGGATTGTAAAGGCAGCCCTACCTAATGGTCTCAATAGATCCCCCCACCAATATGTAAAAACACTAGGCCCAACATTATTTGATATGATGGGTGGGACATTGCAAAATATGAGGAGGAAAGGGATTAAAATAAGTCCTAGACACTAAATCCCAAGGCCTCAACCCTGAGCCCCCGTTGCTAAAACACTGATCACACATTGCTATAATCTTTTCCATGGCCGTAACAGCTTTTCTCCAAAGCCATCAGCCTCCTCGGTCGCCTCGCTCGCCTCGCTCGCCTCCGCCTCGGTCCTCGCGGCGGTCCCGGTCTCCGTCACCTGGGAGTGGGTTGGAGAGTTGGGGGGTTGGGGCTTACGGATTAGGGTTGGGAAATTGTCCTCCCGACTAGTAGGCTTTAGGACTAGGGGTTGTAGGACTAGGGGTTGGGGTAATCTCTTGTGATCTGTTGGAGTGTTGCCTCTCTTTGTAGGTTCAAGGCTGAGTCCAGTCGTGAAGTGGGACTATGGTCACATAGGTATCATACCAGGGCCTCGGGAGTATTGTAAGCATCTACGACCTCCAGGTCAGAAGCGTAAAGCTAAATCCGTCCATGTCGCGGTCTTCGCGGCGGCGCGATCGCGAGCGTCGATCCCGGTCCCGGCGATCTCGGTCATCGCGGTCCCGGTGGCGGCTGCGACTCCTTGAAGTTTGCTGAAGTACAGTTTGCCATTGTCATCGATCCAAGTGAACATACGGCTATATTTTTGTAAGCCTCTGGCACCAAGGGTCGGAAGTTCAAGTCGTATGTAAAAGACGTTTAGGCTGCGCAGGCGGATGCTGAGGACATGAATCCAGGTATTTGCATGCAACTACAAACGGACTCCTAGTCATAGACATGGCGCAGCACGAGGCGCACTACAAAAATGTAGTGAAGCATTAGCAAGTAGTGAGAAGGAGCCCCTTCTGGACATGCTGTAACATTCAAGTCTGCGCAACAACTAACCCTTCCAATCCCCCAGACACACCACCAGTCACGGCAATCTTGACATCATCACTGTCCTGTCCCCACGGCGTCCCCCACGGTCGTCCCGATCCCGGTCTCTACCTCCTCCACGGTCCTTCAGCATGTAGGGGTGGACGCAGTTCAAAGGGTTCGTGGCTACTTACATAGACTGAAAAAACTTGCAAGATGCTATTGATACCTTGAAGACATCAGGGAAGTTCAGGGAATGATGCTGCAGCCTGTCTAATTAATTAGGGTAGGGTTTGGGAACACCATATACTACAATAATAAAGGCTGTAATGGAACGATATTGGAAACTCTTTAGGCCTCTACATTGAGGCTGGCAAGGCCCAGTCAAGGGATGGAGGTTCACTTTGGTCAGGAAGCCTGCGGGCCAGCATAAAAGATGTGCTCCTTGATGGGGACGCACCATTGATGACTGGGCTGTATGACAGGCTAAGCAGGTTTTGGCATAATACCTACTGGATTGAATCCTCTTGAGTTTGAGTACCGTCGACCCCGGAACGCAATATGTCCTGACGCTCATAGCGGTCGCCACCACGGTCTCCTCCTCCTCCTCCTCCTCCGCCACGGTCTCCTCCACCGCGATCTCCGCCTTAGAACTGATCTGGAGTTGGTGCTGTGGATTTAGGATTTAAGATTTAGGAAGAAACGACTTCGTGGGGCTGAGGATTGATGACTTAGCGCTAAGGCGTGGCCGTGTGCGATGTAAGTAGGGGTGCGCGCGCGCGCGCGTGTGTGTGTGGGTGTGGCGTTTGCAAACACATCGTGCAAGCAATCCAAGAGGCTCTAATACTGAGTCAACTGGAAAATTGGCTCTCTAGCCACGCTAAACGTTCCTGCATTTCTGCAGGGTGGAGAGTTCAAATGGGTCGTCAGTACCTGCTACCTCAGTGGCAGTTACGGTCTTCCTACTTGTGCACGTGCAGGAGGCGTGGTTGGAGGCTTCATTGGCTTTGCTGCTTCGCTGGCATTGAATTTCTTCTTGGGGTACAGAAAAACTGGATACTCCGCAGCAACGGCCGGACGCCAACTCAAAATGGTCACATGTGCCACAAGGTTTCCACCGCCACGATCATTGCGGTCTCCGTTCCTCAGGTGTCACATGGCATGCGGAGGGCCCAAGGTCCCAATGTGAAGGCTCTAACTAGCAAACAAACACAACACAAAGAAAGCGTATCATGTTTTGCGCATGGCCTCATGGGAGCCCCTTTTGAGGTCACAGGCCCATCACCAAAACAAATGATCAAGAAACATGGGAACCCACCAACTTTGCATGTTAGATGGCTTTTTGGTTTGCCTTTGTGTAGATTTCGATGCAACAGTCCAATTCGTGCGAACCCGTCAAACGAACTTGACTACTAAGCAGCCGATATTCCGCCTACATGATAAGCACATACTGAGACCATTCCATGCCTAGAATACCATATCTTCTACAAGGGAGGATTTTGGTAACCCCAACTCCAAGAGTAGGACCTTAAGATACATCGCTGTAGTAGGCAAATGAATACCACGGGCTCCGTGTCACAACACGCCCGGTATGCTTGTAGCCCTACAGAATCCTTCATGACCCTTCTAAAATGCTTCCACATAATCTTAGTCCCGTATTGACGCAGAAGAAAAGGATATCCTTCTGGTATATCTGCAAACCCCAAAAGTACTAGTAGGATCCCTTCTGTTGACCCTAAGCCCCCCTTTCTATAGACTCCTACATAACCACAGTTTCCATTTCCTGTCAGATTTGTTCTCCGTCATTTAAACATGATAAACCTTCAACCCTATCCTAGGATCAAAGAATTCCTAGACAGCACCGAGAACCCAAAACTGGACACCCTAACCCTCTTCGCTAAAAAACAAACCGTAAGCCTCAAACCCTACACTCTGCATCCTAAGTCCTGAACCCTTTACCCCACTAAAGCCTTCACCCCCTTCTGGGTTGCTGTTAAGGAACGTAAAATAAGTTACCATGATGGGTATATGTAGTACTTTATATAAGTTCCCCCAATGTAGTAACTTAAGTGAAGTTCCTTAACAGCAACCCAGCTGTTTAAAGCTTATTATGACCACCTTCGACATCTCCAGGCAAAGCACTTCTGGCGGTCCAGCCAGCTCCCAGGGCCTGGACGGCCGGGCGGGCCTGCAGGACGGGTGGAGCTCCACCATAGGCTTCTTTAGGTTAAGGGTTTGGGGTTCTTTAGGGACTATGGATGGGTAATGTAGGGAATATATTATGTTGGGAATGTAGGCCTTTGGTTAGCTGGGAATGAAGGAATGGAAAAGAAAACGGAAGCTACTGTAGGGTTGAGGGTGTGGAAGATGAGGTGCACTGCCCTTAAAGGGCACGCGTCCGCCCCTACCCATGTGCTGCAATTCCTAGCACATGGATGGGGTTAGGGTGGGCAAATCATAGGTGCCTGTCAGGAATTACGCATAGAGTTTAGAGGAGATGGACAAGAAAATGGAAACTGCCATAATGAGCTATATAGGGACTACGATAAGGATCCATTCCTTCATTCCCGGCTAACCAAACGTAAGTATTTGGAGGGTCCTAAGGACTTAGTAAATGGGGTCATAAAGTGGAGAACTGGGGTGACTAGATCGGCTATAGGAATTAAAGTTCAGGGTTAGGGCTTAAGTGGAGAACTGGGGTGACTAGATCGGCTATAGGAATTAAAGTTCAGGGTTAGGGCTTTGGGTTAAGGATTGAAGGCTTCAGGCTTAGGCGATATGATTCAACTAGCAAGTAGAGCTTGGGCTTTAGTCATTTGGCACTTGCATGAGCGGAGATTAGGGTTTAGGGCTGGGTTGGCCTTTGGAATATCTTTTTAATCCTGTGACAATCAGCAAGTAGTGCCAACCCATGCAATTTAGCGGATCGTACTTTAACAGTAAACCGTAAACCGCGCTTGGCGTTCAGGGTTCAGGGTTTGGAGCTCAACGATTTTTCGGGCCCTTGGGCTCAGGGACTGTGAGATTACAGGGGATTTATTCCTTTAAATACCGGAATAGGAAATGGAAAAAGAACATGGGAAATGATATGGAAACTGGGATTTCATCGGGATTAATGATGGCTTATAGGGATTTCGGGGCGTGCGCACTTACTGCGTAGAGGATGACAAGACTGGGCTTCCGTGAGCAACTGAAAGGAAGCTATGCTGGTGCGCGGCGCCTTATCTTCATGAACGGCAGCCCAAAAAAGATGAGGTTGGGTTTCGTACAAAATGTAGCAACGATGTGATACAGTAATACAGGGGCTGCAGGATTTCAGCTTTGCAGTGCCGACGGTGGTCCCCTGCAACGCTGGTTCACTTATGTTTATTCTGGGTTACTCTACCTCCAAAATCACCGCGTGCTTGGGGGCTTCTTACAAGCAACAACAATGATGGCATGGTGTAGAGGCCTAAGCCTTCATGATCATAGGTCATAGGCCTCTGAAGACCTTGATGAATCTAGCGCACCTCGAACCTCGTGAGAAGGCCATAATGTGTATGGGAACTTCTGACAGCAGCCTGGGACTCAATGCTTTAATGAGATTGCTGTTTCAAGCGTTTCAAGCCTTACAGGGCCTTAGGCACCGTAAGCGACTGCATTGTAGGATTCAGGATGCTATCGGATGTTATAGAGAGTGCTCAGATGCTCGCGTTTCTGGGGCCTTGAAGGGAGTTGATGGAAAGTCCAAGCATACTCGGCTTAGCATGATGTCCCAATCATTCCTAGTCATTAGGCCATGAGGGAAGGTACATGCTGGCATGTCAACTCGCCAGCATTAGTTGTAGGATAGCACCCGTGGGGAAATCAAGTGTCCTTGGACCAAGCGAACCTAGGCAAACCATGACGCACACAGACTTCCTGCCACTCAAAGAGCTGTGGAGCCAGCTCATGGCTGGAATGATTTGGATTTGCCGCATGCCCGGCACAAAACGGAACACCCCGGCACACATGATGCATAGATTTGTTGCGCGAACCCATCCTTATAAACAGTAGAACGCATACGCTTCCTGGCCGAGTCACCTAGCGGTTCTCCGTTAGCAAGCTTCTTCATGAGGAGCATCGCTGTGGCGGAAGGCTTGCCGGAGCATTCAAAATGCCTAGCAGAGAACTCTCTTGGATAGAGAGGTAGACTCATCGTAAAGTGTTGGAGATGGCTACGTCTGGAAAGCAACTTTCACGTCAAGACCTTGGGACACCATCAAAGGAAGAAACAATCACGGCAAGCAGGCTGGGATTTGCTGAGGTACCGCGATGCGACCAGACCAGTCTTCATTGTATGAATATTGGATTCAGGTATCCATGAATATAGCATGTTGTTCAACAAAAAGCCAACACGGTTCAAAGAAGATCTGATTTGCGTTTGTTACGCCTGTTTTGCGTGCACAAGAAGCTGCTCAAGCAATGGCGTCAGCGACCCCATGCAGACCCCTCGCCAACCCCGCTAGCAAAAGCCTGGTCGCAGTACCAACTCCTGCCGAGGCCCAAGACGACGCAAACCCATAGCATCTTTTTGAGAATGTAGAGTTGGCGAAACAGCCGCTGAAACTGAAAGCCAAAGGACCGTGTTTCAGACCTAAACTCTTGTGACTCGGGCCTCTCCAGGTCGTGGTAGTATTCATCCTTTTTCTCATCGGAGCATCGTGCCAAAATGTCGGACAAACCTTTTTCCCGCAGGCTTTGCTTTGAGGGACTCCGGAGTGTTACCCGGTAGCAACTCTGCTTACCCTTTAAATAGGTGCCCTTGCGCCATATACGCTGGGTCCCACCAAGTGTTATCGTCTGCGTTCTTCGCTTCGGAGGATGGAAAATCACGAGCTACCTTATGGAGTGTTTCTCAAAATAGCGTTGCCCTTGCGATCGCGGACGCCCGCCATAGGGAGAAAGCAAGAATAAGTTTGCGCAACAAAGTTTAAAGTGCTTGAGGATTCCAAGTGGTGTAAGATTGCCTGCATCCAGCGCAACTCTAGGACAGGCAGGCAGGGATCTCCCAAGCATGTTACCCATGATGAGATTGCTTAGAGGGACCGGGAATCTAGCCTAGCGTAAGCACGAATGGTTGCATGAGGTTTTACAAGAAGCAGTCAGCCACTTGCCAGTCCATCGACGTATGAAGATGGGCTAAGCCGAAACAGTAGGCTGCATGACAAAGCCCTGCATTTGCGCCACAGAGCTGTTGAACACCCATAAGTGATTTCTCAGCTTTCTCGTGGCAAGGCTCTACTGATCCTGGGGTGCGAGGCCAGTATGGTCTGAAGTACTGAAATGGCTTGGAAATACTATTTGCACATGGTTTCAATCCAGCACGGGAACTGCATACCGCGACAAGGACTCTGTTGGTTACGAGGCGCAGGGGTCTGAGTCTACGACTTTTTGATCTCGGGCTTAGGGTTCCACAACCCCGAAGCCTAGATAATCTTCTCGTGCTGATGGAAGAGCCCAATCAGACTACCGTCCGTTTAACAGTGGCATTTATGTGGTCCACATTGGATTGAGCGAGGCTTGACGAAACCGCTTACTACCCTGCCATCTGCGAAGGCACGTGTCTCCGCAATGCGGTCAAGCTTGAACTTTTCCTTGAGATGCTGCATCCTGTCCATTGCGATGGCTGCCATGCTGAAGACCAAGCTCCAAAAACTGTATTTCAAGAATCTGAAGCTTCCACACTGAGTCCTGAATTCCAACACGATTAGCTGAGCCCTACACTAACCCTACTTTGAAGCTCATGAGACTTAATAACTGCTTATGACTGGGCTTTTGGCACTACTCATCACCCCCTAGCTGGACGAATGTAAGAAACCTATCCGGGAAGAAAGAAAAAGAAAACCTAATGCAGGAAACCAAAAAAGGCCTAAGCCAGATCTTTTACGTGTTCAATGAACCTCCATGAAGGGTCGGCCTCACACTCAGGTCTCTGGGCTACAGGGGCCTTCCCTGCAGTCAGAGGAGCCCGCAGATAGCTGCAGAGCTGCATCATGAAACTGGTACAACCTATGTAGTAACCGACGAGATCATTAACTGAGTGCCCTCCTACAGCTACCTACCTCCTGGGTAGCACCCTGTGCCTCTTGTCGCGGTTGATTGCCACGAAGGTGCCATCCTCCATCTCTTTCCTTACGTGGCATGCGGTCAGATCAATCACTCCAAATGAAATCCACAACTGCGACATATGTTACGGCTCAAAGTTCTGCAACATGCCAGGGTCGAGCAGCTCTAGGGGAGGGGCATGTTACTTTAGAGGGCCTGCCCGGTGTTCTGCCACATGGACAGGGCAATTTTCAAGGGCCCCTCTTCGGAGCCATCCTTTATTGGAAGCTGCAGCAAAGCCGCATTTTGACGACGAGCATGCCGCATGGAGAACGGGCCTCTTCCATGATCTCTCGCAACTTCTTCCTGATGCATCAGGGGGGTTGCTTCATTGCGTGCTGGAAGTCCTACTGCACACCTTGGTGCTCGGCCACAGTTTTCCCCGGTCACTGCAGCTAACTGAGAGGCTTCAAGCTGCTCCGAAAGCAGCCGATGTTGTGCACAGTAATGACATGACAGCAGAAGTGGCCGAATTCAAAGGTGATTTCAAAGGCCGGCCCCAAGAAAGGGTTTCTCATGCTTGGTGGCCTGAAGGCAGGGCAGAGGATTTAAGGTTTACTGGTGTATGTTTCACGGCATACTGAGTTCATCAGTGTTACAGTGAATTGCTGCACGCATGGAGCCCTTCTGCTGAATCATCTTCGCGCTGGACTTGGAATCGCACAAGCGTTTGCTGAGTTGCTCCTGGACAGTGGTCAACTGACAGTGCTTTTGAGGGGCTCATAGCCCGTCTGCACCGTCCCTCTAAGCTATGGGGGTCCTGTGGAAATCCTCGTGGGAGTACCATGGAAACCACCCAGCTGCAAACTACCCACCAGGGCTTCTAAGACCCCCTATGTCAACGTAAACATACTTGTCATGCATGAATTCAGACAGCAAGCATGTACGGCATTCGCATCAACTGGATGAGCGCATATCAAACATGGACATGATGCGGTACATATGTGCCTGGCCCTTCTCAACGCAGGCTGCTAGCCCACAAGCCTCACCCCTGACCTAGCGATGAAATTCTCAAGGGTGCTGTTGACGGATACAGTACTGCACAACTTTGGATACCTGAACTGCCATCGTTCCTAGGACCTACATGTAAGCACTTGTGTCTACGGTGCTGCAAGATTGCCTTAGCCGCAACCACTGGTGGGTTTGGCACCAAACACACCCCAACTGTGCGACAGCTGCATTTCCAAGGTTCAGATCTTCAACCCAGGTGTCGTGTCTGCAGGCAGCTTTTTTCAGATTTTGGGCTCGGTTCACCTTCCTTCTCTGTGGGACACTGGGCTTTTAAGGGGCTAGGAACCTGCTTAGAAGGGGTTGTCAAGGAGATAGGAATGATTGTCTAACACTGAGGTCCCTCAAAGTACAGCTACTTTCCAGGCCACGACCTGGCTAATTCAGTGGTATACTACTTTGATCTACTTTGTAACATCCAGGAGTCAAGGAGCACACAGGACAAATGCCAGGACGAACCAGGTCCAGAAATCTATTGCTATGCTCAGGATCGAAGTGCTAATTGATTCTCGAAATGGCAACTCCGTGTTTAGAACTGATGCAGAGATGAGACAAGTGGTTGGTAGAATGGCATGGGATTATGCAGGTCTTGGGGTTTCAGGAGCTTCTTTTATTTCACTCTCACTGCTGCAGTATCGTTAGGTAAAGTTTTTGGAACCTTCCATACAATGTACCTTTTGGAGATGGCACTCGCCCTCAATCAAAGAATGATGTGCCTTGCAGTGCAGTCAGGTTTCTGCTGGTATCTTAAGGAAGGATCTTCAAGGAATTTTCCTCGATCATTGGCTATTAAGTTGCCTGTACCCTGGAACCCTAAGCCTCAACCACCTCAATGGAAACGGGTCTTCAGACCCACGTTCCATGCGAGAGGGACATGTGGGAATTTCTCAGAAATTTGACTGCCTCTTCGAAAGCCACATGCATCAGGCTCCCATTGGCTTAAATGGCTTTAATTGACCTAACATAGCATCATTATCACAAGACTCCCTCATAAGCTAAGCTTTGTTATCATGATCCATACGAGGAACAAGTTCCATCTGCAGATTGCCTGGAGAAAACATGCTTGGGGTGCAACCGTTGCAACTGCACTTGCTAGTGCTGTTATGAAAGACTCCCCCGTTGTCGTAAAGTCCAATGAGGTATTGCAACCTAAAAGGGAAAGGGATTTAGTTTGATGTGAGGAGGTGGGGCATTTTACACTATGTGAAGGAATTGCTCACGCAGCATGCGTGTTCTGACGTCTCGTGGGCATGTGTAGTGGTATAAAGTACAGATTGGAAATCATGTGGGAACGCTTACCTGCTCACTGCCTGTATTGCCATGCAAAATGGACAGCCCACCCTCTAGGGCCCCACCGAACCTCTGTCCGAATGAGACCCGAACACTGGGGGTATGAATTAAATGTTCCCATGATTCTGGATCTCGGCCTGTCTTTCATGAGCTCATTCAACTTCTCAATGTGGCGGGTCTCAATGTAGAACTCGTCGCAAAGCTCCTGGATATCCTTGGCATGTTCGCCACATGCTGTAACATGATAGTCCATGCAGCAGCCGTACAGGCCTAGAACCTGGGAGGGGGGCAGGGAACCTTCTGCTGAAAGAGAACACAAAAAGTTTATAGAGGGGGATTTCCAAGGATATTATAGGAGGTAGCTTAAGAAACTCCAATGCTGCTGGGACGAAATCTCTGACGCATGAAAACTACCCAAGCATAGTAACTCATGTTCTCCCGAACTGAGCAAACTACCTGTACAAGACCCTCGCTAGGATCTCACAGCCTGCATCTATGATGGAAGTGTGAAGTGGCATCCAAATGTGCGTGAGGCCCCGGCAACATGTGGGGATTGCAAGGAGTTTGCGCGGTTCCAGAGATAGAGCCATTGGGATCATGGATCCCGGGTAATATTCATGAGGCTTTAAGTGGTTGAGGTGTGTACTTATATGGAGATGTCCATATAGAGAAGACTTTGCGCTTCCTGTTTACAGGTTACGCAGAGCTCGAGCTGAGTAATGTCTTGCCAGCTTCTTTATCCCGTGTGGAGGCTCCCTGGTTCCTGGGAACGGGGGGCCGGGTTATAAGTTATAGGGACTGCTGTAGGGGATTAATACAGGGACTACTAGAAGAATCTATTCCCTCCTTTCTCCATCAACCACCTCCCTGAGCGGGATAATTATTGAAAACCGTTCAAATGGAAAAGTCCCTAAAGGCGGAACTGCATAAAAGTGAAAGTGGCATTTGACAAGAAAGGCTTCCACTCCGTTGCAACACTAAACTTGAACACATTCATAATCCCTGCTCTCTATGGCTCTATGTAAACCCACTGCCCATTCAATTTTCCAGCTTCTTACCCATTTGTTCTCCATTTTACCCCGAAACCCTAAACCCAATGCAACTCTGCGAGTCTGGATGGATTCGTCCGTGCTCTGACACGTAAACGTCAGTTTCCTCACCTCTCTTGTTCCTGTCAGCAGGGCAGGCATGTGCAAGGGTGTGTAAGGCAAGGTGTGGCTCTACAGTTTAGTGGTTGAGGGTTATGGCGCAAAGAACCTTGTAGACTCCCAGAGGCTGGACATGCTTGGGATACTCTTGCCCTTCTCTAATCTTGCCATGGGCCGTGGCTCAAAGTTCACATCTTGGCACAGCCGCAGCAGCATGCATTCAAATGTCGTCGCCCGCTTGAGAGCTGCAAAGAGACAATGGAACTGGAGCGTAACAAGTCACAGTGAGCAGACTTAGGAGAGTCGTAGGTGCCTAAGCAACGACGCCTAAACTTCTGCTGGTTCTACAAGCACAACATGTCGGCTGGAGTCTCCAGATGTGATGCAAGCTAATCATTCCCTCCCCTTATCGTAAAATGCCCCGAACTTTATTTTGTGAGATGTCCCCGTTCTGGCGCGATAGGCAGTGCTTGATAACAGGGGATGAGGTGCGTAATAAGGGGAGGGGATTGAGAAGAGTACAGCTGAAGGAACAAACGCCCTCTCCACAGCACGAAAGTAAGATGCCAGAGTTTGAAGATGATCTTCCTAGTAAGGACCACCCACTTGTATCCCTACGTAGGTCTCCCATACAACCGTGAGCGGGTGCCGGATCGCCGTAGATCTGCCTTGGAATGTTCCTAGTCGGTTGGGCTGCGTGGGTTGAAAAGGGCGAGGGAATTACTAGGTGATGCTTGACCAGACTACACTACTTCTAAGCCCCCCGCAGCCCAGAGAAACATGTCTCAACCTATCCCCAGCCCCAACCCCATTCCAATCATCTTGGCCTGCCACATCTTGGGCACTGAAACTTCGAGGCGAAGCAGTTCTGACCTGAATCACCCGTCAATCACAATGTTCAACATGCATCCCAGAACGAAAATGACTCTCAGTGCGCACTCGGCTGTTGTCGAAAGCTAGGTCTCGTCATCTCTCACACCAAACGAACAAATCCTTCATGCACAACGTTGGCACCGCTCCTGTATGCTATCACTGGCACCATGACTAGCCTCCCTTGCATGTTGTACCTGCATGGGCATGTGTAAAATCTCCTGCTTTCCCGTTAAGGCTCAAAGTTACTGAGGTTCCGGCCACAGGCTGGGCAAAGCCAGTCTCCAGGCTTTAGTCCCGGCAGCGGCTTTTGCTCTACTGGACCTGGAGTTTAGAGTTTAGAGTTAGAGGCGTGGTTAGGGGTCTCCATCCTGAATGAGGATCCCCATGACCGCTCTGGGTTTTTTGGGTGCCCATTTTCTCAACTATCCACAATATGAGCTGCAATCAATATAATATTACTTGCGGCGAAAGTGGACATCGGCTGGCAAACTGCTTGTAGTACTTTAGTCATGGCACTATGCTGCTTGCTTTGTGGGAAAATTGTCAACACTTAGGGTGCCTTTGGGGTCCATGATATAGTACGGCCACTGATATTAGTCAGGGAGTCAAAAAAAACAGATTTTAACAGCCCCTTTCTGAACTCCAATCTACACGTAAAGCATGTTTCTTATTGTGAGAATTCCCGAAGAGGCCCCTTGTTTTTGAACATGTCTCGCATATCCTTCTAAAATCTAAAGAAAACCTGTTCTATCCCCAATTTTGGCAAACCCAGACCCCTGCACCCTGAACCTTAACCCTGATCCGGAGACATCCCTGAACAAAACCCTGAACCATGTGACCCGAAATCCGAAACCCTCGAGGCACCGCCGCCCTTCCCTCCATCGCCGCCGCCCGGTGCGGGTCCGGCATTCGGAGCACCTGCCAAAGCCTAAAAATTTGGGTTCGTTGTTGAGTACCCTTAGGTTCCTTTAAAGGGGCCGATAAGGAGGGATGTACTTTTGCTTTTAGGCGCCTTCTGAAACGGTCATAATTACAGTCGCATGAATCCTGAACTGTACACCCTCAACTGCACGGTCTGGATTGGGACGTCGAGCTGGGTTAGGGTTTAAAGTGGAGGGCTTCCAGGGTCTCGTTTCAGCACCCCCACAACCTAAGGTCCCAAGAAATAAAGCAACAAGCATATTGCCGTAGTTAGAGCGACCGAAAACGTGATACATAATTTTGAGAAGAGCTCAAACCCTGGACCCTAAACAAGCAAGTGACTCAGGGTCAGGGCCGAGGGTTGAGGCTGGGAAGGCCGACTATGCTATGAAAAACTAGTGCGATCCCGTTCTGAAAAAGCAGAAGCCAAGGCCTGGAGGCATCATGCCCATCATTTGGTTCCTGAGCCAAGACAGGCCGTGGGAAGTATTTGAAAGGGCTCTAGAAAGTTCAAGGACTGGCTTGTCAGAGTATGCCTAGCACAACGATCTCAGAGGAATCCAAGGCCTGTTGCACTGGCATTCAGCATTGGGCGTACAACTCGGATCTCGAACAGGAGCAGACATTTGGCAGGTCTTCGGGTGCAGTGCTGGTCGTTGGAAACGCTACTTGAGGATTTGGGGTGCCAGCATCCCGAACCCATTTGCGAGCATATAGCTCTTTTATGTCATTCTAGACGAATAGCATGAGCGATGCAAGGATACCATCGCATTAGCCATCTCATGACGCATGGCTTCAGCGTGCTTTGTAGCCATCTAAAAGAAACACACGACTCTTCAATCATGGCGGTCCCCCCCAAAACACTACGATGCTTACGCAAGGCGCCCCCAAAACCCCCCACAGAATGCGACGCAGAACCCCACCCCTTGCTGCGGAACGTGAGGTTTCCAGAGTCTAGGGATCTCTGCAAAGATTTTAGGTCCAGACGCAGCAATTGAAGGTGGACTCCCCCGCAGCTTTCAAATACCCACAACTTTTTAAGGCAGGCAAAACCATGCATGACTTGTCCCGTTACAAAATACTCATGAGTCGGTCTAGGCGCACAGATTTAAAAGTCAAGCCTTGAGTTCTCATGGCAGAAGCCCCGACCATCTGTCGCAACAGAAAACATCCTGGCTCTGCTTCAGAAGCCCCTAAGACGTTTCAAGGGCATGGCATTAGTAAGGAGGGTTATAAGCATTATGCCAAATTGCCAAATAGATACATGTCATACGTGCGAGACACGACATTGCAGAGCCCGCGGCGTCCCACCGTGCTTCACAGTGCTAGGAGTAAGACCCACAATAGATAGTCAAACAAAAAGTTCGCCGCCAAGGCTATGAGATGACCCAAGCCCTTAGCAGAGCCAGCATTGCCATCATGAAGCTCATCAACCTTCCACCCGAAAACTGAAATCCTAGAAGGAGTTGCGCCAAACCTACACCGCAAACCCTGAGCAATGCCGGCCAGCAGCGGCATCCCCATCATGTTGCCCATCATTCCCATCATGGGGTTCGGGGGCTGAGGCGGGCCGCCCGGCTGACCAAAAAGGTCAGGGTTCGTCATGGCCTAGGCAAAACCGAGGAGGATGTGCCAGTGCATTTGCCTAAACAACTAGCAGAGCCTTTGGGGGTAGGTTATGCGCTGCATTAACATAAGGATTTCAAGGGATGCTGCTCATGTTTGTGTGAGCCTACATCATCTGCTTCGGGGTAACCATTCTCCCTCGTGCTTATCAATAGGGAAATGGCACACTTTTTGTGCCCTTGCCCAAGGCTTGCGAGAACGTGGATTGCAGGGAAGCTGGCCTGTCTCCCTGTGGTCCACCCAGACACCTTCTAGATACATTCACTAATATTGCGAAAAGAAAGCCCTTAAACCCTCATCACTCATCACCATCTAAATCAGGATCCTACCTGCCTCACTTCGTATTCAGGCCTTTTCCAAAGTAAACCTTTCGGATTATGTACCAGGAATCCAACCTTCTTTCCTGCTTTTGGAGTTCGGTTCAGGGATTAGGGTTTTTGGAACTTCCATTGCAGAACAGCAGCGTAAGGTTCGCAGCCCGTGAACTCTACATATTACGCTGATTACATGGGCCGAGCTGGCACCCTAAACCCGTGGATCAGGGTTTGGGGACCGGGGTTTACAGTTTAAGGAAATTGGGAATAAAAGTTTTGAGTTTGGGCTTTGTCGCCGTCTGGCCTACTGAACCTCCAAAACCCCTTAGTTAAGGAATGTACCGGTACCCTAGCCGCGGTTCCCAATATGAATGGAGGCTGAAGGTATATGGTGCATATTCATGCTCCTTCATCAAGACGATCTGGAAGTGGATTCGGCTAAGACCCCGGAAGAAGCTCAAATAAGCATAGATTGGTCTTACGAGAATGCATGATGTAGCCTCCACGCCCAGGAACATCCTGCACAGCAGTGGCCTAGATCATCTGCACTGGGCCCACTGGGCCTTCTCTACATGTTCCCAGATCAACCCTAGCAGCATCAAGGAACATCCCTATAGGACCCTCCGTAATGGTCCCCATACTCACTACCCCCTCTCCGCTCTTGAAGCACCAGCAAGTACCTCCTCAAACTCTCAATCCCTACATGTTATTTCAATCCCTGGATTCTATTGCATCCTGCCTAGGTGCCGTAAATAAACCCGATGAATCCTATGAACCCGAAGAGCCCTGTTAACCCATCGTAGTCAGAGAGGCCATCATTCTTTGCAGGTTGGCAAAAGCGCTCTGCATCTGTCTCATATTGCCTTCGCCTGCGTGGGCTATTTCAGGGTGTAAGGCTTTGGTTTAGGGCTTAGGGAAATTGATGCTACGGGAAGGTGCTTGAAGACTTCTGTTCGACTCTGGCAACCAACCTGCTCCTATCATGCGCTGCGTAGGTCCTTGAACACTTCTACGGGGAAGCTAGAGGCCAATAGTCATGGAATCCCTCACCCCACCCCCATACTACCCCCTTTGAGCTTCCCCTGAACCAGGCCTATTTGCGGACAATTAGGTCTACATATTACATAAGGTGGAGCCTAGGTGACTTGGTAAGGGGGGGGCCTATAAAAAAGAAGAGCAAGATGCCGCCAGCGCGAAGGCTTTCAGTCAGTATTGCTTTAATGATGCTACATAAGGATCTCTACTTGGAAGCCTCGCATAAGGATATTCCGATTATCCCCATTTGTGGAAAGGCTCATCATCACCCCGTGCAGATTGAAAACCCCAAGATGTACAAACTATCCCGACATGTTCCGAAGCCGACTTCGAAGACCCCCAACTACCGAAACCTCAACCTTGTTCATGTCACATGTCTACAGTTGGGAATGGGGGATTGGGCTGCGGACGAGTTGATTACATAAGGAACTACTATAAAAAGGGACCATTCCAGTGTTAGCTACAAGAATGCATGAGTACGCAAAAACCCTGCGGACGCCTTCGCCACCCCCTTCCTGATTGCCTCAGCTGATAGACGCTTTGACACTGCCACAAACATGGAACCCGCAAACGCATCCTACCACGTACCCTACAAAGACCACTGTCCTTCTAAAAGTGCGTATATAGGGCTCCATGCTTGTCTAGGGATCGGAACATGAAGACAAAAGGTTTGTGAGCAAGCGCTGCTTGACATACTGCCAGTTGATCTCCAGCATGCGTGACAGGTGACACGAGATCAGCCCACCGGCACATGCCCCACCCACTGCGGTAACCATGCAAGCTGTTCGCACTACGCATCATGTAGCTAGTGGAACAGCATGAAACAGCATAACATGGTCAGCACGTACGGGCACTGTGCCACTGCACCACGACCGCTTGGATTCTCTAATCGCCGAGACGTAACAGCACGTGGACTGCAACGGGAACCAGTCACCTCTAACCTAGACACGACAGGGTAGATTCGCTAAAAGACTCCCTGAAAAGCGCGTGTCATGGAAGTGGTTATTAAATGCTCTTCGTATTTACGGTTTTCCGGTAACTGCAAACCCGGCGACCGGTCTTCTGTTTGCGTCCCATGGCCGCTACTATGCCACACCACTTGCGGGTCTGGCACTTTAATCACCCAGGTGCTACTCTAACGAGTTGAGCCACAACACAGCCCGCAAAAGCTCAGGTGGAAACTGCTGCCCCGAGCAGCTCAATGATGAAAAGCGGTTTAGTGTGTTGGAAACTCTCGCGCTTGGGGATTCTTACTTTATAAGCCTACTCTGACCAACTGGGTAGGTGCCTGATTGGTGAAACACCCCCTCAAAAAGGATGGAGAATGGATCCTAATACTCGGATCCTCAAGCAGAAGGAGTTCCAAGTTCCAAGTATGGTTCAAAAGTCACGGGTGTACATCGTACATTTTGGTACTGCACTGTACGGAAGCTTCATTTCATTCCCCATGTCTCTCGGGTAAGAAACAGACGCCTCAACTTTTTTGAAAGCAGCCATACAAGTACAAACTCACTGGCCAGCGGTCTTCACTGGCCGCCCATGCGCAGCGCAGGCTTTCGGTCCGTTTTCCTAAGGTGACATCAGGCATACAAACGTGAGATAAAGGTGTACACTTGTGATTTCTCGGAATTCTGTCTCGCTTTCGAAGCGCTTCGATAGCAAGGGATTGGTCGGCTTGTAAGGGTATAGCTGGAACACAACTCAAAAGCTACAATATGAAGACGTCCTTTGCAAATGGGGACATCACGTTGCCTTAAATTCGCTTGTACAAGCGTAGAGAGCCTGGCCAGAATTATGGCGCTTTGGCAAGTCAAGTTATCTTGCACCCTCGCTGTACACATGCTATTATCTTTCCCTCAAGTGGCAAAGGTGGCCAACAAGGGGATGAGGTGATGGTGGTGATTATTCCTAGCAAGGTCCTCGGGTAGGTCCCCTCGATCATTGGGAAAGGACACTGCGCCATGGTCCAGGTAGAGCTGCGTCAGCTGTCCATGACCGACCTCAAGGGGTCTCTAGCAGAGAGGAAGCTCTCAAAACCCGAAAGACCCCAGATTCATGAACCCCTGTCCCAAATCCTTATCTTTAGCAAGAAATTAGACCATGGGTATAAGTATAAGTCGGGCATGAACTTCTTAACTGTCCAGGCTTCTACAGTAGGCCTTACTATGTATTCCAAAGCCAGAGTGGCCGCCAGCAACCAAGTTAGGAAACCTATACTCCGGATATGATGATTTTCCTCATATACTTGAGGAAGGGGATGGCCGCAAACTGTTCAAAATCTCCCGCCAAGGCCGCGTAGCCCAACGGAGATATGCCTGGCATGGAGGCACGAAGCCGCGTCATCATGTTGCATTTCTGGAATCCCAGAACCTTAGATACTGGAGGCTGGCAGCAGAGGCAAGATCTTTGTGTGCATACTTTAATTACACAAGGACATGCAAGTGCATGCTTGGCAACTGATATCTTGAGTCGAGCCTGCCAGCACTCTCGCAGATACGAACCTGATGGCCGGGAGACCACGTTGACATCTGCATGATGCTCCAGCAAAAGTGTTGCAGTCTCTACGGCGCGGCGATTGCTTCGCGAGAACAAAGCCACTGCATGAAGGGGACCATATCTCGTTCCTCCAACGAGGGCGGGGTCGCAGCGAAATTTTAGCAACTCCTGCACAGTCTCCGGACCTGCAAAGGATGCCGTACCGTTCAAAGCAGCATGCATGATCTCCGCCCGGTTCTCGAGCAGTGCCTTCACGTGACCTGGTGTCCGGGACATGTACACGGCCGGCAGACCTGTCCTGGCGCGGCCATTTGCATCCGCACGCAGCTCGATGAGAGTTATTAGCACGGAAGGATCCTGATGGGACTTTGTTGCAGCCATGAGCGTTGTCTGCGTATCATAATATCCCAAGTCGCTCAGGCCATGCATGGGCTGGTTCATGTCTGCTCGGCATTGCGCCAACGTGTGCAGCATGCCATTGTCACCAGAAAAAATTGCACACATGACTCCACTCATGCTGCTGGAGTCTTGAGCTGCTTCCGCCAGGGTTTGGAACCGGAAGTCTGACAAGAACTGTTCGGGCTGTCGCTCAACGAGGTCCTGGCGTAACAATTTGGGCCGCAAGGCCAAATAGAAACGGTAGTGGTGCAAAGGACCGTAATCCTGCAGGTGCTGGAGCTTGCTTCTGACCGCCATCTCACCAAGCTGGACGACAGCTGCACGATCGCTTTCAACCGTAAACTCTCCTTCGACTATGCTGTTGGATTGCCAATCTAATGGAAACATGAACTCAGCCTCTCCTGGCGAATATACGACAATGACGGAGGTGTCGATCTTGTTGGACAGAAGTCGGCACCATAATTCTGCACGGCACCATCCCCTAGACCTAGACAACACCGTGCGGATTACCACAAACAAGAATTTAGGGCTTGAGCATCGTAATCCTGAACAAGGGCTCCGAGGACTTTTGTTGGCAGCAATTCCAAAAGCACTGTTCAACAATAGCCTAGGGACAGCCAGGATGCATAGTTGACCAACGTCGCTGAGTCCTTGTGTACCAGCTCTGGCACAAGGGCAATGAAAACATTGGAAAGCTCCACATAGGCCGGAATGCTTTGGACCGCTAAGGCAGCCTCGCTTTTGGTGGTCTCCTCGTTCACCCCGTGCTGGCGGGCTGTGATCTGAGGGATGGAGAACCAATCCTTACTGGCGGCTTGCAGAACGCAGGACTGTGGATCTGCTTACACATTCCTCAGAGTTGTCCTTAGAAGAAGCTCTTTTAATCCCTGCTATGCACTAGTAAGAATCAAAGAAGACGAAGCCGTCCGCTATGTGTCGACGCGTGTTTGAAGACAGGTTCATGTCGTCTGACCTGGCCACAATGTCTTCTGTCACATGCAGCGATCCGTCAATCATTCCTTCGTGCCAATTCCCTATGGAAGAAATCAGAAAACAACGAACGACATAACCAAAAAGTACAGAAGGGTCCATAACGTGGACCCAGAATGGGTGTGTTTGTTTGCTGTATTTGCCACCAAAAAATATTAGGATGCATGGACCCAGATTCCGCAGAGCGCTTTTTGCAGAACCTCTAGTTGCTGGCCTTGTGGATCTGGATGTTCAGAGCTCAACCACTGGTGAGAGATGAAGATGACAAACATGCCCGAGTACCATTCCTCAGGAACGGTAGACAAAGCTTTGTGGACAAAAACTCGCTCAAACGTCTCAAGGTGCCTAGTATCCAGGGTTCGCCGACAGGTTAAACCTGTTGTTCTATTGGTTTTGAAATTTGCGTTACCCAACAACGTTTAAGCTTAGCTGCTGGACAAGTAAGTTTCCTTCGTGTTGAAGATACCCCCTCATGCCTTGCCTTGCATGTCTTCCAGACGTGCTTTGTAACTTACAATTCTGGGCCTGAAGGCCTGGCAGGAAACTCTGGCACAAACAATTCGCGGAGCACAAGGAGAGACACCAAGCTTGGGCAAGCAGTTCAGAAGGTCTGCGTCGCAAGGATTGCCCCAAAGAAGGAGCCTGCCGGCCAAAATGAGCAAAAGCGCTGAAAGATGTTTGAATTCAATGCCGTCCAAAGATCATGCAATAGGCCCTGCTCTTGCAGATCATTGTGGGGTTGCGGCGGGCCACTCATCTGTAAGAAGTCGGAAACCTTCACCTGGTTGGGTGAGAATCTTTTGGTTGATGCATGAAATTGGAGTAATTGCAGGGGCTGCGCGGAGATCATGTAGGTGGTTGGGCTGCATGGTAACAATAATTCTGAATCAGACATGGAGATGGAAGGTGCTCGGGACCTATGTGTTTCAATATGAGTATGTCTTAGGGTTGGGTCATTACTTGCTTGTTTTGACATGGAATCAAGGAATACAACACAAACTGGAATTATTGAGATGATCTCAACGGCCCGATATTCGTGTATCCATCCACTACTATGAATAATTGCCCACTGACAAATGATTGATGATGCAGGGTCTCCTGAAAACGATTAGCAGCGAGTAGGGGTTCGAGAGATCAGGGGCAATTGATGTGTACAAGGCGGAGAGAAGCATGGGTACGGCTTTGTGGGAATGTGAAACAAAGCCAACAATGCGAGGAAAAGTGTGCCAAGGTGGAGGAAAAGGCACAACAGCTGGGGTAGAAAAAAAGTGGGCACAGGGCAACGGTACAGGATTTGTACAAGGGCAAAGGCGCAAGGATGAACGTAATTAGGTAGTCGTGAAGGCCAACGTTAGGCCACAGAGGCAAGGACAACGAGCATCCTTGCCGGATCCTCAAAAATTAGGGTCCCCGCATATACCCTGCAGTATATTACAACCCTTTGTAGGGCTCCGTTGTCTTTCCCTGACTATGGTGGGCTCGGTATTCCTGAGGCCAAACGCTGTGCATGAAATTGGCACGCGCCAAAACGTTTTGCATGACACTGGCACGCGCACATTTTGGAGAAAAAGGAACCTAAGGGGGTCGGGTGAGCGAATACAGAAACTACATGAAATTACCAAGAAGAATTAGAAACAACATCCACGCCCGCTCTCATCCTAGAGCGCCAGGAAAGCACACCAGTTTCAGCTTCGGAGCTGCCCATAGCGGAAACTTGCATGGGTGAACCGTCGTCTGCAACCCGCAAGTGCATCTTTCCTTCGCTGCGTGGTAAGAACATGGGAGAAACGTCATCTTTCCTAGCTCGCGCATGCTCGTGCGGCAGTCTGCCCGGGCTGGATTAAGCAAGTCTAAGCCCAGGACTTGTAGCACTCAAACCTGAGCCCCAACCTTAAGGCCAAATTTGCTGAAACTGAATTAGTCACCAGATGGTTTGAAACCTCAGTAAGAAATTACAATTGCCCGAAGCAGCCAGGGATCGTGCTCAGGCGCACACAAGAACGAACCCATTGCCCAAAGCAAGAATCAACAATTCCGTGACCACGCTGATCATATTTGGGCTGTTGTTCACAAACTCGACGTCAAGTAGAATTCTAAGTACAAGAAAACCATATCGATGACTGTATGTCCCTATCGACCCGATTGAAGCCTGCTATTTGAATTCCTACACAGCAACCCAGATGTCATTTGTCGGGACAATGTTACCACCAAAACCACTGAGACCGGAAATGCGCGGATGAAACCTAAACACACGTACTCGTCCATGAAAGGCACCACGGAGGCAGATGCCTACGCTGTCCATGCCAAACATTTGTCAGTAGCCAAAAAGCTGATATGCGTGGAAATGGCGTAAATTATCCACATTCGGCCGACACACAACCCTGCCTTTTCAAGGGACTGGTGTCGGAAGATGCGTCTCCTTTGAAGCCCACATGCCTGCAAAATTAGACATTCCAAGCTTTACCGCCTTCCACGGTATGGAGTATGGTAACAACCAGTTGCGCGAATACTGCATTCCGTGAGATACTGGACAAACCTAAAACCCTAAACCCTAAACTGCGTAAGGTCTTTCTTGATTTTCACTCACCGTCATGTGTCATTGTCACTGTGTTTGACGCCGCGGAGCCTACACTTCTGCACAAGTACCTGGGCGGGTCTCGTAATATTTCGTGTCTTTGAGTTGTAGCCACGAAGCCTCAAGATGGTAGCTGAGACTTTGGAGATCAGCCAAGGCGAGTAAAACATGTTCAACATATTCCCAGATCTGTTGCCCCTCACTTGAACTACATGTCCGACGATGTCCGACGTTTGCCATGAAAAAGATTCCTGTCCTCGATTCCAGCAGAACTTCAGCAAACGACCCACGCGATGAAGGATCTGATATTCAGAGACCGCCCCCAAAGTTTACATGATCACTCCCAGGAAGTTATTCTAGTGCATAATGTATGATGGCATAAACGGCACATATACAAGAACACCTAGATGAGAGCAACGCAAGCAAGAACCTAGACATCCTCAAGGCATTCGCGGGGTCTTCGAGGCAGTTTTAATGTCTTGTGAGGGTGTCCTCAAGGCAGTGTTTCAGATGAAGGGGGGCAAAGTGCAGAAATGCAGATATTCTATAACGACCTGGGACCACCCCCAGACATACTTTTTCTGGTCAACATTATCTGACAAGCACGTTATCTTACTTGGCTCAACCAACAGAAAAAAACTCAATTGGATTGCATAAGCATCCTCGCAAGTGATCCGAAATTGATGTCTTCCGCATCTTTGGAGGCCTTGCTTGCAGATTGGAGTTTAGGAAGTTTAGGATGTGGGATTCAGGGTTATACGCTTTCGGGGGGCCAACTTCTACAGTACATGGCTCAGAATCTGAAGGCCATTGTCGGCATGAAAAAACTCTACAAGTTGTCGAACTGAGCATTTTCAGCGTTTCAAACGTAGTACTGCCTGCGAATCCAAAGCTTGCGGTTCTGCCGACTGGCTCCAAACCAGTGCTGATGCCTTCTTTTTCCCACGATGCACCGGACAAGTCGTGTGCTTCATCAGGCTACCTCTCGAAGATTCTCGAAGTCGGTAGTTCCGATCCCAAGTTATCCTTTTGGACCTATGTACTCCTCATTTGCGTGACGCCCCCACAAGGACCCATGGTTCGAGGCATAGCCAAGGGAGTTATCATCAGAGCCCGAAGGGCCTCGCATTTTCTGGGCACAACGCATGCAGCTAGTCCCAACCAGATAGGATGCTCCTAACTCCACCTGTGATGCGCAGTCTGCAGCAACCGCAATGAGTAGAATTTTTAGGATCTTTATCTGCTGCCTTCTTTCGGCAATGTCGGCAGTACATGGTGTGCCCACAGGGAATGAATGTCCAGTCAGCGGCTTCGCCACAGAGGATGCACCCATTCCGCAGTTGTCTTCTCTGCAGCTTCTGAATTTCTTCAGCTTTCTGCTCCAGGACTTGGTTAAAATTATGTTCAGCCTCTTTCATCCGGCGTCGGAAGGCTTTCTGCATACGTGCAACCTCGAGACAACACCATTGCAACTGTCCGGGGAGCATGCTAGCACGGCTGCAGGCAGGCCTGCTGCTTGTGGTCCTTGATCAGCATCAGCGCCCGGGAAAGAAAGCACCAGGCCAAGTATCCCAAAACAAGACAAATCATGTAGCAAACCTCAAACTCACCTCCCCCACAACTTGGCTAACCTCCCAAATCTCTTCACCCTCTCCACCCCTCCCCAAACGAGCCCATCCGAACCCTTCCCCATCACAACCTGCAGCCCCCAAAGACTGCTGGTATGAAACCAGATCCCAAGCTGACTGCCATTCACCAACCTCCGCACCGTTACGACACGCTAATTTTTGCGAACATTGTTTGAAATGTTCTTGAGAGCTGTGGCAGGCTTCTTGGTGGAGTCAGGACCCGAGACAGGAGGCCTTGGAACAGTCATGCCAAGGTGCCTCCTTTGTTGCATGCGATGCTCGGTGTGCCCCGAGACATGCCCCCCCAAAATCTGTCCAAGGCCCTTTCCACACCTTCATCCTATGGTGTGTTGGCCAATCAGCCCTTCATCACTTTAAGGAACACCGCAACAGTTTTCATGGATGCTGCAAGGAGACTGAGTCACTGAGTATGTGATCAACTGCTGCTTTAAGAAGGTGTATCAGACTTGAAAAGAGTAACCATTCTGAGAACCACTCCCATTGAAAGCATATCCAAATTACAAGCCTAGGCGGGCGGCCGCCTTGCATCCAAAATCCGCTGACTTGCTGGATCTGCCGGTGTGTTGGAGGCTGTGACGGAAACCCACCACTCCTCCCCTGCTCCATACAGCCCTGAAACGCCGGGTGGGGGATGGAATCGTGAAGATGCAACCAATGGAAAGTGAGTCAAAGCGCTGCATGCGCTGAAGCTTACTAGGAGTGCTTCAGCGTTTATGCGGCCAGCACATTAACCAGCAAGGTCATGCATCGATTGAAGATTATCATTGAAATTGACCAATGTGCTGGCTGGGAGTTGCAGGATGTTGCTTTTGCGGTTAACACAAAAAGTTTGCCTTGCCCTTGGTTAGACAACCAAAAACCGAACCAGACCTACCTTCGGCTTATTTCGGCTTTTGAGAAATTCAAAGTCCTGGATTTCTCAATTGCGGGCCTCGAGGCCGGCTCTAAGGGTCGGGCTTCTTCTTCCTCTTCTTCCGCCTTCCTCTTTTGAGTGACCTTGG